CTATGGCATTCCTGGGCACACCCACACCATGATCCATGAGATCGGGCACAGCCTGGGCCTCTATCACATCTTCCGAGGCATCTCGGAAATCCAATCTTGCAGTGACCCCTGCATGGAGACAGAGCCCTCCTTTGAGACCGGAGACCTCTGCAGTGACACCAACCCAGCCCCAAAGCACAAGTTCTGCGGTGACCCGGGGCCAGGGAACGACACCTGTGGCTTTAACAGCTTCTTAAACACTCCGTACAGCAACTTCATGAGCTATGCAGGTAAGGCCCACGCTCTGCAGGGTGCACGGGGCTGGGCGCCAGACGTGGCCTCTGGTCCTGGCTCAGAGAAGCCTCGAGCAAGCTGCTTGCCTTTTCTGAGATTTCTTCATCCCAACAATTCCTTATCCCAAATAATCAAGATAACATTCCTTCCGTGAGCACCTCGTGGATACAAGGAAGGTGCTGTATCCGAGGGCTCCTCAGAAAGGTACTCCAGGCAGCTCAGCAGGACTGAAAGTAGGGAAACCTGCGAAGAAGACCCAGCTCTGCCACAGGGTCACCTAATGCCTTGGGGTCTGTCACATGCCCTCTCTGGGTCCCGCTTTTCTCAAGAAAATGGAATCTTTGGAACTGACCTCCGAGGTTCCTCCTAGTTTTGCAGCTGTAATTTTCTAAGCTGGTGGTGGTTAAAACTTTATTTATTTATTTGAAACTTCTTTTAAAACACGGAACTCTCACATGCTCCTTTAGCGTTTTATTATAGAAAAAAATAGAATGCTTTTGGTTTTGCAAATATGAAATTATTACGTAGGTTGCTTATGTTTTTCTCCTAACTGCATATATCCTTTCAAAGCCCTTTTTCATACCATCAGTAACAGCGTTAAAGACTCATTCTTTGGATTCTAGGATGCCCTATACTTCCTTTTAGTGTATATCAAGGCCACTTCCAGCCCTTATAACATCTTTGGCAAATCAGAACAAGACATCCCTTCCTTAGGGCAGTCACAGCCCTCACTACTGGCCACCTAACCAAGAGATTTGGGGTAAGGCACCACCTGCAAAATTGCACATGGTAGCCCAGCATCCAATTCTCTTATAATATTCAACTTAAGTGTTCCTTTCCACCAACCAAAACAAGCGAGCTCTGTGAAGGCGGAGCTTGCCTCTAATACATCAGTGTATTCTCAGTACCTAGCACAGGGCCTTGTGCTTTAAAAATGTTTGTTAAGAAGAAAGGGAGGAAGGAGGGAATAAGGGAAAGAGAAACGCAGGAGGGGAGGAAAATGAATAAATTCTCTAATAACAGGCATATAAAATTGATTCTTATCAATAACAATATTTCTAACTTGTAAAAAAGCTTACTGTTCATAAAGGACTTTAATATACACCATCTTATTTAATTCTCACGAGAAACCTATGAGGTAGGAACTGTCACCATTTCACAGGTGACAGTACGATCCATAGGCTGACTGAAGTCTTTGGCCCCAGGTCGCACATCTGACTCAAAGTTGTTTTTTTTTTTACAATGGAATTGCTTAGTTAAATCTCTTATTTTATTTTTTTAACATCTTTATTGGAGTATAATTGCTTTACATTGTTGTGTTAGTTGCTGCTGTATAACAAAGTGAATCAGCTATACGTATACATATATCCCCCATATCTCCTCCCTCTTGCGTCTCCCTCCCTCCCACCCTCCCTATCCCACCCCTCTAGGTGGTCACAGAGCACTGAGCTGATCTCCCTGTGCTATGCGGCTGCTTCCCACTAGCTATCTGTTTTACATTTGGTAGTGTGTCTATGTCCATGCCATTCTTTCACTTTGTCCCAGCTTACCCTTCCCCCTCCCCGTGTCCTCAAGTCCATTCTCTATGTCTGCGTCTTTATTCCTGTCCTGCCCCTAGGTTCATCAGAACCTTTTTCATTTTTAGATTCCATATATATGTGTTAGCGCACAGTATTTGTTTCTCTGTTTCTGACTTACTTCACTCTGTATGACAGACTCTAGGTCCATCCACCTCACTACAAATAACTCAGTTTCGTTTCTTTTTTATGGCTGAGTAATATTCCATTGTATATATGTGCCACATCTTCTTTATCCATTCATCTGTCGATGGACACTTAGGTTGCTTCCATGTCCTGGCTATTGTTAAATAGAGTTGCAATGAACACTGTGGCACATGACTGTTTTTGAATTATGGTTTTCTCAGGGTATATGCCCAGTAGTGGGATTGCTGGGTCGTATGGCAGTTCTATTTTTAGTGTTTTAAGGACCCTCCATACTGTTCTCCATAGTGGCTGTATCAATTTACATTCCCACCAACAGTGCAAGAAGGTTCCCTTTTCTCCACACCCTCTCCAGCATTTATTGTTTGTAGATTCTTTTTTAATTTTTAAATTTTATTTTATTTATATTTTTTATACAGCAGGTTCTTATTAGTCATCAATTTTATACACATCAGTGTATACGTGTCAATCCCAATCTCCCAGTTCATCACACCACCACCACCACCCCCGCTCCTTTCCCCCCTTGGTGGCCATACGTTTGTTCTCTACATCTGTGTCTCAATTTCTGCCCTGCAAACTGGTTCATCTGTACCATTTTTCTAGGTTCCACATATACGCATTAATATATGATATTTGTTTTTCTCTTTCTGACTTACTTCACTCTGTATGACAGTCTCTAGATCCATCCACGTCTCAACAAATGACCCAATTTCGTTGCTTTTTCTGGCTGAGTAATATTCCATTGTATATATGTTTGTAGATTTTTTGATGATGGCCATTCTGACCGGTGTGAGGTGATACCTCACTGTAGTTTTGATTTGCATTTCTCTGATGATTAGTGATGTTGAGCATCCTTTCATGTGTTTGTTGGCAATCTGTATATCTTCTTTGGAGAAATGTCTATTTAGGTCTTCTGCCCATTATTGGATTGGGTTGTTTGTTTTTTTAATATTGAGCTGCATGAGCTGCTTGTATATTTTGGTGACTCCAAGTTTTTGTTTTTTTTTTCTCGTTTACTCTCATGCCTCCCTTCAAATGAGACCTAGCTGATGCCTGAGTGGGATATCGAGCATTTTGCGTGGCTTTCGAGCTCTGTCCCACAGAGATGCTTCGGGGGGCTGCCCTGAGTGGCTGTGTGACTCTAGGCCTCCATCTCTGCTTGAACCAGGGGAGCCCCCTTCCAACAGTTTTCCGTTTCTGTTGGAGTTCTGCCTCAGATTGCATTTGAAGAGAGGATTTCCCTCCTGAAACCCAGTGAATTCGATGATTGCCCGTGGGTCTTCCTGGTTTCCCATTTAGGCTGATGACCTCTGGGGGCCTCTCCAGTTTAAGGTTCCTACAGTTCACACCTGAGGTCCCTTGAAGGGTCAGTGCTCACCCTTGGCACCATAAGCGGTCCTTAGGTTTGGGTCTCTAAAAAAGACCCGAGTACTGGGTATTTCCTCAAAAGCAGATTCCTGC